GCTCGAGCAGCATATTGGGAGCACTGTCCCACATGTCCCAAGCTACCTCCTAAATTGGCTTGTCAGTGCTGGGAGTGTGGAGTCCTGACTGCTGCCAGCCCTTGGAGGTGACTGGGCTGGGCTCTTGGAAACACTGGTGCTGATGGTGAGGTGCTCATGTCCTGCAGGAGTCCAATGGCCCCACGGATGCCTACGCAGCCATAGCCAAGGCTGACCGGCTGACCCAGGAACCCGAAAGCATCCGCAAGTGGAGGGAGGAGCAGAAGAAGCGCCTGGAGGAGCTGGGTGAGACCCAAGGCCATGTGTAACCCCCCTGTACCCCCCTGTAACATGGCAGTCAGGGACCTTGGGGTCCCTCACCTCTTGGTGACCCTGCTGCATCCCAGAGAGATGTCTCATGCCCCTGCCAAAGATCTGCTATCCTTGGGGCAGTGGTGCCTTTTGGCCAGTATTGGTGGGGCTGGGGACAGGTCTGAGGGGCTGCAGCTGCCCTGCCTGCTGAGGGGCTGCCCAGCACACCCAGCAGGTGCCAGTGTGGCTGACGGACTCTGTCTCACTCGGGCCTTAGACGCGGCATCGAAGGTGACTGAGCAGGAATGGCGTGAGAAGGCCAAGAAGGACCTGGAGGAGTGGAACCTGCGTCAGAATGAGCAGATGGAGAAGAACCGAGCAAACAACAGGTATGCTGGGGTCAGCATGGCCAAGAGGACTGTCTGCCTTCCTGGGATGTTTGAGGGCCTCTTTCCCCACAGTGGGGCCAAGCCCTGCACGGACAGAGCCTTGCCAAGCAAGGGGAGAGACCCCAGCTCTTGGAGTGGCTCTGGTGGTTGTGCAGAGCCACTCTGGCTGGAACCACACTGAGATCACCCTGGGATCTTGGTGCCTCCTGCCCCTGCGTGGGGGTTGCAGGGGTCAGGGTTGGGCTCCAGGTTCTCCTGGTGTGCTGCAGTGTGTGGGTTACTCTTTGGGAGGACTAACCCCCTCTGTTCTCTGTTTCTAACCCTCTGCCTGCCTGTCGCTCCGCTCCGCTCTCTCTCTCTCTGTGCCTGGGGCTAGGATCGCTGACAAAGCCTTTTACCAGCAGCCGGACGCCGATATCATTGGCTACGTGTATGTGCCTCTTACAGACCATATCCTGCCCCTCAGGCTCTGGGGGTCCCAGCCCCAGCACTGCCTACCCAGCCAAAGGGAGGGGGGGATGCTGGGAGGTTCTGGGCTCTGGTGAAGTACCAGAGGGAGGATGATGCAGCCAAGTGTCTCCAAATGGTTGAGTTTTAGGAGATGAGTGGAGCTCCTGGAAATGCCTCTGTGGGAGCTGGTTGAAGACACAAAGGTGTGGGCTCTTAAGCCTTTTTGGGGATGGCTCTGGGGGTTAAGTCTTGGGAGGCGGCAAACACTCCTGCACCCCTGAATGAATGAGAGCAGCCGAAGGCAGACTTGAGCACTGTGTGTCTCTGGGTCCCAGAGGACACTAAGCTCATCTGCTGGGGACAGGAATCAGGGACACAAGGGTTTTTAAGACAGAAGGAAGAGTCTCCTTTGGAAAGGGGTCTGCCAGTGACAACCCTCAATGTCTTTGCAGAGCCTCGGAGGAAGCATTCCTGAAGGAGTCCAAGGAGGAGACGCCAGGCTCTGAGTGGGAGAAGGTGGCCCAGCTGTGTGATTTCAACCCCAAGAGCAGCAAGCAGAGCAAGGATGTCTCACGGATGCGCTCAGTGCTCATCTCCCTCAAACAGACGCCCCTGTCCCGTTAGCTGTGCCTGGCACAGCCGGGAGCACAGCGGGCATGGCTGGGCTCACTGAGCCGGGCAGCTTCAGGGGCCGGCCCAGGAGGGGCCTCCCGCTGCCTGCTCCCTGATCTGCGCCTCGGCTGTGCTCGAGTCACTGGTTGTATAACTCTCCCCATGGTTTTCCTTTGCTTAAAAGGTGCATTGGTCTCTTTTTACACTTATTTATAAATCACTGTGGCATTTCCCCGGGAAGCGGCACTGGGTGGCAGAGCTGAGTTAGTGGGGAAGCCCCAGCCCAGGCTCTTCAGGAGGTTGTGTCTGAGGGCCTGGCTAAATGAGCAGGGAATATCCCATCCTGTGTTCCCCACTTCAGCCCTGTGCTGGGAATAAACCTGCCTGCAGCTGTCCTGGCAGCCCCATGTCCAGGCCTCAGTCCTAGCCCTGAGACAGGAATCCCAGTGGGGTCCTGGGCTGCTGTCTGCAGGGTTGGGAGGGTGGAGAAACAGCCATGGCTTGGCTCCACACTACTGGGTCCTGCAGGGAGCATACCTGCAGCATGGCACTGTCAGACTGGCAGGGACTGAGGAATGTGAATACAGGCACCCAGGTTGGACCTGGACTGCCAGCAGCTGCCCCGAGTCCATCAGAACTCTGCCCAGGCTGGCTATGCCCCAAAATGTTGTGGGGCTCCAGTGTCCATGTCCCATCTGTCCCACTGCTGGCAGCATAGTGGTGTGGGTCACTGGGAAGGCACTATGGGGGCAGCGTGCAGGATGCTTCCTGTCCTTCCCCCATGAACACCAGCAGATGGGAATGTGGAATGTCAGGCTTTGGGGGACTCTTGGCTTTGCTCTGCTCCTTCCCTTGCTACCAGAATGGGAGATGGAGGCTCTGTAGTTGCAGGGAAGGAAATCGGAAGATCCAGCTGCTGTGGGGCAGGTCAAGCCCCACAGCTTCCTAACCCAGGGACCCAGAGCAGGGTTGGGCAGAATTCTGGTGCTTCGGCTTGCAGTGTCCCTGAGAACAACCTGCACATCTGTCTGCAGTTGCTCTGCCCCCTCCCCCGGATTTGCCCACCTAAGGCAGTGTAGGGAGATGCCTCAGTCGTGCTCCCTGCTCGAACTTTCTCTCCTCTGCTTGACAGGGATGGCACCAGTCCTGCGAACCTGCACAAATCCTTCATAGCAGGAGAGGGACAGCCTTGAGCTGTTGAGTGCTTGGAAGGGCTTGCAGTAGCTTGAGGGGACTTGGAGCAGAGCCCACAAAACATTCACTTGAGCCCCTCTGCAGAGCCCTGCACACTTGATTTCCAGCTGGAAATCAAGTGTGCAGAGCTCTTCTGCCCTGCAGATGTGGCTCCAGGGCCAGAATGTCACCAGTCCTGCTGTTGCAGCTGTGGGGGGTGCCTGGGCACCCATGGCCCTGGGCCATGGTCTCACCAGTGGGCTGGGAAGGTAAATGGGTGTATAGGGAATCAGTGTTGTGTGTTGGGACTGTGCCCCCTGCCCATAGGGCTGATTGTTCCTGCCTGGCCCCCCTGAGCTCCAGCATGTGTAGGCAGCTCTGCTGTGCTGCAGGATACCTGGGGACTCGGCTGCCTGCCTCAGCCTTTCATCACAGAGCAGCAGGAAGCACCCCTGGCTACTTGTGGGGGGCAATGTGTCCCCCCTGTGCTCTGTCCCTCCAGCCCCTGCAGGCAGCTGGGCCCCTGGGTCCCCCAGCTGCCATGTGCTCCGTGTCAGGCTGGGGCAGCTCTCGGGGAGCCGTGCCCACAGCTATTCTACATCCCCTCGGCTTTGGTATCTGTGACTGTCCAAATTACCTGTTACAATAAACCGACATCTCCAATCCTACAGGGCACTGTCGTCTTTCTGCGTTAGGGATGCATGTTGTGTTTAGGAGAAACCACAGCTATGAAGCCTCTTGTGGGAAGGATGGGGCTGGAGGAGGAACATTCTACAGGAAAAAACTGGAGTGAGGGGAAGGCCATAGGATTTTTGCTCAGATGGGGCCAAAGCAGTGGCAGCAGGACCCAGGGCTTGGTTCTGTCCCCAAGGAGCTGCAAGCTCTGGCTTGTCCAAACAGGCTGAGCTGTTCCCCTGTCCACTGCGCTCTTCAGCTGCCAAGGGATTGTGCTCATGGATCTGCCCACCCGCTGCTCCTCACAGCCCTGCCCTGGCTGGGCTGGAAGTGCCAGTGAGGCAGCCAAAAGCAGTTTCCTCTGGGAAAGATGTTCTGCACATGCAGCCAGGGAGGGAAGACAGGCCCTGGGCTCCCCAGTGCTGAGGAGCTCACCCTGCTCAGCACTGGCAATGGCTTGTTGCCCACCCTCACGTCTCAGAGGTCAGCTCTGGTGACCAAGAGCCTTCCCTCTCTCTTTGCCAAGACCCACCAGCACAATTCCCTGGACAGGACAATCCATGTGCTCATTTGCAGATAGAGGGTTCACCCCTATCAGCCCATCCTTTTAAGAACTTAGGGCACAGGCACCAACTCACAGAACACCTGGAAACAGCCCAAGCTGCAAGGTGCTGCTGTGAGCACTGTGGCTGGTGCCACAGTGAGATGAACAGAGACACTGGCCCCATGACCTCCTAGCCCTGGCATGAGAGAGCAAAGCCTCGTGGATCACCAAACCCCCTGGTACGAGCCAAAGCCCACAATGGGACCATGTTTGTCAGGACACAGGCAGTGCAGGTCCCTCAGGGAATAAAGTGTTCCCAGCAGGAACAGCCGAAGCAGCAGCACATCCCAGAGAACACAGCCAGACCCCATTTCAGAAATGTGAGTTCCCTGCTTGTTTTCACAGGGAGTTTCATGTCTTGTTTATTCTTGCATCACCACAGCTTCAAGACAGCCATGCCCACTCCCTTTTTTCCCTGCACTGTTTACTGCTTCTCAGTGCTCTGCAATGCAGTATCAGTAAGAATCTTGCTGCAATTCACTTTATTACTCACCAGTTTTAATTGAACAGGTCACACAGCCTCCCAAACTGCCTCCCCTGCTGCCTAGAGACTTTGTCCTGCCAGGACCAAGGGATAAGCAGGGGTTCCTTCCTCATGAGCAGCTCATTTCTCAAATGCTGGTCACTGCCTAACTACAACCACACCTCAGTCCACGACCAAGAAGACACAATTTTATCAGCCTGTGACAGCATCAAGCAGGGACAAGAAGTCTGACAGGGGTGGTTAGCCTTAGTGACATGCAGCCTCAGTGCTGCAGGAGGGTGAGCTCTTCAGGGAAACAAAAAAAAAAATGCCACAGCCCAAATTACATGTTAATCACAGAGTGTATTCACCCCATTTCCAGTGCTCCAGAACTAGCTCCACTGAGACATCACAACAGTTTCTCAGAAAACTCCCATCTGCAGCCAGGATTCACTCTGCCAGCTGGGGTTGCTGGTAGACTCTTGCCCGTGGCCGCAGCTTCGCTTTTGTCCGATGTCACTGTCGGGATTTGACAGTCGTGGCCACCATGCCCCCCACCAGGGCAGCGATGGTGAAGCCCTGGGCTACGACACGCGCCCGCATCATCAGCTGGGAGCGCCGAGTCTGGCCTTTCTTGAAGCAGATAATCCCGTAGACCAGGACACCGACGGTGCACAGGCAGCCTGCGGGGAAGGAGGGCGGCTGTGAGGTGCGGCTTCCCCCGGGCCTGAGCGCTGCGGGCCGGTTCCACCGCACTCCCAAACCTGAGCCGCGCCTCCCCGGGCTGCAGCCGGCCCGGGGCTGAGGGCCCGGCCGCTCACCGGCGACCATCGTCCCCCCGCGCCCCTCATTCAGCCTCCGTCCCGCTACCCCCCGCCCCACCCTCACCGAGGGGCACCAGGGGGTTCTCGCGGGTCTTGCGCACGAACTTCT